TACTTACTAACACAGTAACTGCATGGATGATGGCTAGTTGCACAAGCAAATGACCAATGAGACATTTATCTGGCACTTAACTGTAGTTACAGTGACTGCCAGTGAAAATGTAGACACACAAGGTGGGTGAGGTAATACCTTTTACTGGACCCACTTCTGTTGATGAAATTATAGTAATTACATTGTAACTAAATGGAATTGTAGGTGTGCCATTGTGCAAGGATTTCTCTGAAAATTAGGCCAGGGAATGGTGTAATTTAGGGCCTATTTTGAGTCATCTCGACACCAGGGTACCCACCTTCTGAACTGGCTGAGTACAGCTGGACTGCATGAGCCACAGATAAAATTCAAGTCAGATGGGAACATTCTAGGACATTTTGCAAGGGGATTTTTGTCCTTTCATAGGATGGGCTACATCTTGGAGAGGTTTTTGTGGCCCATCTCCCCTCCTGTTCTTCCCCAGCCTAGTTACATGATGTCTATGGCAACTACAGCAATTGATTAAATGGAACAGTAGTATTGGGAACATAATGTTGTTTTTTGTTTGCTTAATGGAATTGAGCATTGTGGGGGGGGGAAGGGGTGAGCTAGCCCCATGTGACCAGCCAGCATTGTGCAGCCCAGAGTTTGGAAACCTCTGTTTTAATACATCTCCCTGCACTTACAGCAAGGAGTTGTTCCCTAGTGCAGTGGCTCTCAACCTTCCAGACTGCTGGACCACTTTTAGGAGTCTGATTTGTCTTGTGCACCCCTAAGTTTCACCTCACTTAAACTACTTGCTTACAAAATCAGACATAAAAATACAAAAGTGTCTCAGCACACTACTACTGAATAATGGTGTACTTTCTCATTTTTTACCATGTAACAAAATAAATCAATTGGAATATAAACGTTGTACTTACATTGCCGTGTACAGTGTATAGAGCAGTATAAACAGACCATTGTCTGTATGAAATTTTAGTTTGTACTGACATTGCTAGTGCTTTTTATGTAGCCTGTTGTAAAATTAGGCAAATATCTAGGTTAGTTGATGTACCCCTGGTTGAGAACCACTGCCCTAGTGTAGTACTTTTTGTTTAGTTCTAAACATCAGTGATACGGCTCTCCCAATCTTCCTGTGGAGACTATCAACTTTAAGTAGCTCATGCCATTAGAAAGCTTCCTCAGATTCAACCTACATTTACCCTTTAATCCTACTACTCATATGGAAGAGGCTTGATACAGGGATAAATCTCTAATCCTCCACTTACATATGCTGAGAATATCACTAACCCTGCTCTCTAGAAATGACACTCGCATTGGTGTACTAATATGCCCGGTGTCTTAGCATTGTGCATAGGTAATACGGCACCCTACCTCAAATAACTAATGCCATTCTTGCATGTTTAAATTAGTAAAATTTCCTATTAGCGCTTCAAACTGTCTTTCAGGATACGACTCTGCACAAGTGTTACTGAAAGTGAAGTATCTCGAGCCACGAACCTTTTAAAAACAAATATGCTGTTACAGCTTGACGGTAAGGTTAAAATTGGGATTTTTATTCTCATTTTACTCATATGTTGATAACTAGAGTATTTTTTGCCTTTATTAGGGTCCACCCCCATCTGCGAGGACATTGGGAGACAGATGTTGTGTTACAATCGTAGAATTCCAATTCCTGAACTTGAAGCAAGAATTGAAGTAAGTAATGCATGTGTTGTATTTTTAAATGAAGAATGTTAATGTAGCAACTTAGCCGTATAGAGCAGGGGTGGCCAAACTGTGGCTCGTGAGCCGCATGTGGCTCTTTTACAATTGAAGTGTGGCTTGTGAAGCTTCCCCCATTCTCCGCCTATCAGACGGGGGAGGAGGGGAAGCTCGGGGCTCTGCAGCTGGGTAGTGGGGCTTAAACCCCAACCCCCACCCCCCCCCTTCCCATGGGGTTGAAGTCCCAGCAGGCGGTCCTGGCTCTCAAACTTTTGAAGATTCTCATTTGCAGTTCAGAGGGTCAGTAAGTTTGGCCAGCCTGGTATAGAGGATGAAAGGTTGTCTGAAACTTTGCTAGTTTGAGAACCATTGTTCTAGAGGGCTATTTACTGAGGTGGGCCATATCCACACAGTGTATATATACTATCTCTGTATGGCCCTGAGTATGTCACATAGGTCACAGCTGTGTGCGCTGATTGGGCCGCAAGCAGCTCATGAGTTGAACTGCTGCTCTAGAAAGACATGGCAGCTAACTTACTAGTTGATTAGCTGTAGAATCATTTTATTATAATAATTCAACTCTGGGCTCTAATAGTTAATATTTTCTTAACACTTTTCAGGCTATTGATGCCCGGACCATAAGAGAGATTTGCACAAAGTACATTTATGATAAGTGCCCTGCCATCGCTGCTGTGGGTAAGCTTATTCTCCTTCACTGTTTCCTCACCATGCCAAGCTGCAGCTTAAATGGATGTCTTGACTTACTTTTTTTTAATTTCCAGGTCCGATTGAACAACTTCCAGATTACAACAGAATCCATAGTGGCATGTACTGGCTACGTGATTAGGAACACATGATAAATGTTTTAATGAAGATACCAGACTTCTAAAGCAGTTGTCACAAGGCATAAAGACAAACATATTTGATCTCTTCCCCTCTCCCCCCAAACCTCCCTCCTCCCCCCCCCCCAAATTCAGTACCAAAAATTACATAAATGTCACTTAGGCGAAGTCACCTTGACAGTTATTCTCAGTCCTTACACCCTTTTGTACTTGGAGAAACTAATTTCAGAAAGTTAACATTTATTTGTGTAATTTGTCTAAAGAATAAAAACATGTACAGTATTTGCATTTTTATTATAAAACAGAACACAACAAGGATTGTCACTGAGTCTCATTTCTTTGCTTTAGCAGCATTCAACACTTGTTCTTGGGCAGCTTTCTTTGCTTTAACCATTTCAACAAGTTCCTGCAGCATAAAAGAAACAAATTGGTATATTTAACCAATTAAATTGTCAGATAGCTAATCATATGGTGACTTAACTCTGGATAGACAAGGGCCTGCCTTTGGAAAATACAAGTATTCATTTGAGTGGATAATTCTGAGAAGGCAGAGGCTGACTATCCAAAGCCAAGATGTGACATGACTAATCAGTTATGCTCCCTTTCCTACAGCTTGAAGGGCTGCCTTCCTCCTTTCATTACTGTGTTAACACTGTGTCATGCTTGTTAACCTTAATTTGTGAGATAAGATAGGTAATTTTTTTTTTTTTTATTTGGACCAACTTCTGTTGGTGGAAGCGATAAGTGTCACAGAGCTCTTCTTCAGAGGAAGGTAACCAGTGTCTTAAGGCCAGTGCTGCACTAAAAAGTTAAGTCAACCCAGCTACATTGCTCAGGCGATTCGAAAAATCCACATCCCTGAGTAATGTAGTTAAGTCAGCCTAACCCCCCATGTAGACAGTGCTAGATCAGTGGGCAAGTTCTTCCGTCTACTTAACTACTGCCTCTTGGAGGTGGCTTAATTACAGTGACAGGAGAACCCCTCCCAGTGCTGTAGTGAGTGTTGACATAGCTTAAGCTGAATACAAGCTGTAGGAGACCACTTAAAATGAAGGCCAGGTAAGGGTTAGCAAGCAATAAGATGTTACAAATTGATGGCTCATTATAACAATTTGTAACATACCTTTATTGCCCACTTAATTTTAAGCAGTCTCCTTCAGCATATATGAACCCCTTGTTTCACAATAACGAGGAGGCCGATGGCACCTTAAAGTCTAACCGATTTATTTGGGCATAAACTTTTGTGGGTAAAAAACCCACTTCTTCAGATGCATGGAGTGAAAATTACAGATGCAGGTATTATTATACGTGAAGAGAATGCCTGGATCTGTAATTTTCACTCCATGCATCTGAAGAAGTGGGTTTTTT